GACTTGCTTGTGTGAGGAGGTTCATAAGTTATTCTGAATAGCTTCAAGTTCCTGTGTGTGTGTCAAAAGATGGTTCATTTCCATATTTTCTCATTTTCTGCTACCTAGGCCTCTTGTCATTGTTGTAGAAGTTTAGAAGAGACGAATCGAGGTTGAAGAGAGTTCGTTCGCACATCCCTGCCGTCGAATACAGTTTAAGATGTAGGATTAGCACTAGCCCGTCTCCGTTGGGGCCGCTTGAATCATTCCGGCCAGAACCGGCTGCACCATAAGTGTCATATTGTCCTTCTTCTGACAATAACATTAAAGAAGCCGTAGCGTGAATCGAAGCACTTGGCATTAATAAAACTCTCAGGTGAGATGATGGTGTTCTTTCGCGCTCTTTAATTCAGCTTCACACGGTTGAGGTGCTTTACCTTGTTCCATGTGCGCTTCGCACGGTGCCAGAGGACCCCCGTGTTCGCATTTTAACAAAGTTTCTATGGCAACGTGGCCATTACTCCAAGTTGTTGAGGATGCTCAGCTGGAGGGGGCTGGTCACAAGTGCCTACACATATCATCCAAACACCAGGATACAGACATACTTTAGGGATGAGTTGATTCCAATTTCTCATACTGACGGTTAATTTATGCTCATAGCTGCATGCCGCAGGATTCTGATTGGGGTACACGATGAGGAGATAGAGCCCATTGATATTCATTTCTAGGTTTCAAACATGGATAGAGAGAGTCACACTTGCAGGTACAGCTTTTCAAAAATATACGTGGGGAAAACATCTGCATAGATTAAAATGCCATTGGAGGCAGGAGTTTGCAGTTCTTTGGGTTGTGGTGGATTTTTAAAGTACCTAAATTCTTGGGACCCTACATACCATCACTGACATACACTGTCTGTTCATAAAGTGCATAAATCCATCATAAAAAGTGCTCCACACGGCTCAGAGGGGTTAATAAAGGTCTTATGAAGAGAATCGATGCATTTGTGTAAGAGTAATATCCATATTTGAATCTTTATAAACCGTAATCTCTAGCTTCCGCTAACTGTCGTACACGCGTTCACGAGAGAGTGGCCTTCCAGTGGATGACGTAGGATGAAGGCAGAGCATAAGCTCCGGTGAGAATATGCTAGTCTTGCGAGAACCGAGTTTTGTTTCAAGCCAAGGAAAACCAGTCTCCTCTTGGCTTATATCGAAATCCTCAGACACTTTTCTTTATAAATCCTCGTTTTTTGTACTTCTAATTCAAGATCGGTGTTTTGTTTTGCTCTCTCCTCTGCGCTGTACTAAAAACGGAAAAGTTTTTCCTTTGTTTTTTTTTTTAAAGTTCCGCGACAGTATTATTAAAACGATTCCTTTCACATGGATCTGCGAGTACGACTAAAAACACTGTATTATGCATGCCAGGCCAGTAGTTGGCGATGTCACTTTGTAAAGAAAGAAACAATACGCACATATTCACTTATTGACTGAACATTTAAAATGTATGCACATGATGTCACCGTTTTCCAAAATTTACGTTTTTGTAGTTTTAACAGAGATGATAGCATTAACATTTTAAAAAACTTGCACTTTGAAACCAATTTTTAAAAGTTTGCGTTTTCAGACTCCCAAAATGCAATTGGCATGTAAATGAATCGCCAAGAAACACAAAAGCTTTCATTAAAAAAATGGTGTTGTGTAAAAACCCACTGAATAGGGAAAATGTGTTCATCCTCATGCAAAATTCTTGATCTGCAGATTCCTGTTGAAATGACTGGATTTGGATGTTTAGTCATACTGTAAAACATGTATCAACTCGCTGTTATGTAAAATTGGGATTGGAATTTGATATTGATTTGCAGTGTCGGATCAGAGTTAGTATTGTAAACTAAAACTAAAACCGTACTTGGAACAGAATAAATGTTAACTGAAATTGAAAGGCAACATTTCTTATTTTTTAAGTTGTACTAAAACAAGTGCAAGTACTAAATCTAAAACTGAAATAAAAATATAATAATAAAAATTATTAATAAAAAATACTAAAATTTTAACTCAAATTAAAATGAAAAAGGAAATTCTATAAAAAAAATCATAATATTAAACTAAAATCGTATATCATTTATACACTCTGTCTGGTTTATGAACATTTGAAATGGAATGGATTTTTCAATAATAATAATAAAAAAACATCAGCTAAGAGATGAGTGAATTTTTGTATTTTTTATTGCAATTATGCACATTTTATTAGGTAATAAGTCGGTTATGAGCTGAATAATGGCTGAACAAGGGGTTCTGAAAATGAACTCGATCTTCCCATCTCTAGTCTTAATGCAAACAAACGATTCCAGGAATTATAGTCACTCACTCAAATTTCCCTTTTTGTGACATAATATTTGAATATTCTGGTGACGCCTCCAAATTTGAGAATCTCCTTCCTAGGAGAAACACATTAAGAGGAAAAAGTCACATTCTAAGCTGAAATAGTGTGTGTGCTGCTGTATCATGGGCGTAGCTGTGATCGATGCTCGCTGCACTATCAGGAGTTTTCTTTCACTCCGTATCATGTGAAATCCTAACTCTGTGAATGCAGTACTACTGCACTTCCAGGCAGCGCTGAGTTCTCGCCATCTGGGAAGCAACACATCCCAGAATGTGATGATGTCAGCTGGATTAATTATATTGCCTGATGCCTGAGAACCTGGAGCCACAACTCAGGTCTTCCTGAAAGTTTGGTGCACAGCGTCACTGTGTAACTGGAACTGTTCCTTTGATTATTGTAAACTGAATTATGGTCTTATTAAAAAGTTTAGGATATTTTAGGAGTAACAATTTAAAACTGGGATACCCCTTGATGAGCAGAGAGACAGAGCAGAACATATTGTATAAATCAGAGTACTGCATTTTAAGCTTGGCTTATAATAACATGCATTAATTTCCATATTAATGTATTTATATACAGTACTTGATGGTGCTGCATTGCAAAGCCATTAAAATTAATCCTTATTGATGTTTAGATTCATTAAACTGCATGATACCAAATGCATTGCAGGAGGTACAATGAAACATTTAGCTGAACTTTAAGCTTTTGCTGAGGTTAATTTAATATTGTATTTTGGTTTAACGCATATTTACATTTCATCAAACAGTAATAATTGGTGGACCCCTGGGGTACGGTTGCGGACCCCTGCTGAAGAACCTTGCTTTAAAATAATGTTCACTCAGGAGTCATAAGCAAACATGCTTAACAGATCAGAAGTTAATATTAAAATATATGAATTAAATATGTGAATAACTAATGATCTGCTATGAATTATATACTGTATGCAGATTTTTCAGTTTTCTAGAATATGACAAAAATTCTTAATTGTGTTTGCCTTTGTAAAAATCACTGCCACAATGCTAAGGACTATTGCCATGCAGCAGCCTGGGCATTCTAGGTGTTTGCTATTGGGTTACGAATCAAAATTATTATTTTTAATAAAATAAACGTATGTTTAAAAGTAAGGGGTCAGTAAGACATATAAGTAAAATATATAAATTAATCGTTTTATTCAGCAAAGATGCATAACCGTAAAGACATTTATAATATTACAAAAAATTATCTTTGAAAAAAATCAACAAATCTTGAAAAAAAAATAAATAAAATAATTCCACAAAAATATTAAGCAGCAAAATGTTTTTTAACATTGATAACACAATGTAAAAAAAATGTTTTTACTTAATTTTTGTATGTTTCTTCTTTAATTCTGTGGTGCTAAGTATTATTGTACTATTATTTTCATGTAGCATCAATATTTTGGTAAATATTTAGGTCAGTTAAATTTTAGAACTTTTATTATTAATTATGAAACATTGGTTTAGTACAGATATGTTTTTGTACTCATTTAGTTTTTTTTTTAAATATATTTTGCTTTTGCAAGGATGGGAACATTCTAGAAGTTTTTGTAACATTCTGTAATATTCTAGTGCTTTCTGGAACATTCCAGAACATTGTGCGACTAGTCGTAAAAGACTAAAATCATCAAATTTTTTGACGACTCGCTTTTGCTAACCGTTTATGTTAAGCTGTTGTTGTTAGCTCAGTATTATTAATGCACAATGAGTAATAAAATATTAGCTTGTATAAGTTGTCAACATCTTTTTATTTCTTTTTTAAGTTTTCATTAGCACTGTCAATGATACACAGAACATAATGTGATATGTTATTAACTTCATGAAGAAACATGTTTCACTGAGTAATAATAAGAAATAGTAATTGAGCAGTATATTAGCATATCATTGATAACACAATGTAAAAAAAATGTTTTTACTTAATTTTTGTATGTTTCTTCTTTAATTCTGTGGTGCTAAGTATTATTGTACTATTATTTTCATGTAGCATCAATATTTTGGTAAATATTTAGGTCAGTTAAATTTTAGAACTTTTATTATTAATTATGAAACATTGGTTTAGTACAGATATGTTTTTGTACTCATTTAGTTTTTTTTTTTAATATATTTTGCTTTTGCAAGGATGGGAACATTCTAGAAGTTTTTGTAACATTCTGTAATATTCTAGTGCTTTCTGGAACATTCCAGAACATTGTGCGACTAGTCGTAAAAGACTAAAATCATCAAATTTTTTGACGACTCGCTTTTGCTAACCGTTTATGTTAAGCTGTTGTTGTTAGCTCAGTATTATTAATGCACAATGAGTAATAAAATATTAGCTTGTATAAGTTGTCAACATCTTTTTATTTCTTTTTTAAGTTTTCATTAGCACTGTCAATGATACACAAAACATAATGTGATATGTTATTAACTTCATGAAGAAACATGTTTCACTGAGTAATAATAAGAAATAGTTATTGAGCAGTATATTAGCATATTCCAAATAATTAAAATTTTATGAGATAGCCGCAGAATTTGAATTATCATTCATTTCTATAGTACAAAATGTTTCAGCAATGACTCACATAGTAGATATATCCCTGTCAGAGTAGCATAATAACTGTTTATGTTTGTGTGTGTGTGTGTGTGTAGCTGGGAGGTGTTGCGATTTCTCCTGTCAAACCTGCGCTGGTGGATGGAGGAGTACAGATTTGATGGATTCAGGTTTGATGGAGTGACGTCTATGCTCTACCATCATCACGGGATCGGTATGTCCATGGAAAATTAAGCATGTAATGTTCTTTACTTAGAATCACTCTACATTAATAACATTCTTCCCCTGTAAATGTCACAAGCTCTTATTGTAGAACAGGTAGAAAAGCGTACTGGAAGAGCAACCGTTCCAAGGGCAGTTTCAGTAGACTGCGAGCATGTTATGAAAACACTCATAAATGAACGGAATTAAGCAGGAAAAGCATGTGATACAAGTTCTTTCAAGCAGGAAATGAATTACACAAGTAGTGTGGCAAAGGTTATCCTGGCATTTTTCTCTTCTCTTTTTAATTTTGTTCCAGTGATGCTGCTAATGATTTTCGGTAGGTTTTCAAAGATCGCTTTGAATAAATCCTACTTTGTTTTAATGAAACATGACATTAGATTCACAAAAAAAGGGTTATTGTGAGTTGGTTTCTTTGTAGCTCTTTTTAAAATGAGTTTTGTGTAATTGCTAATTAATTTTTATTTTTAAAATGTAACCATCAGCGGTGGAATCTGATTTCATTTACATGTTCCCTGATGCTCAGGATCAGGATTTTCCGGGGATTATACTGAATACTTTGGTCTCCATGTAGATGAGGACTCTCTTCTCTACCTCATGTTGGCAAACCATATTTTGCACACCCTCTATCAGGACTGCATCACTATTGCAGAGGTAAGCTGTATATTGTTTTCTGAAATGCACTGAACGTAGAAGCTCTCGGCAGCATGAAGTGTATTTCTGAAATGTTAGCTCAGCAGTTCTTGAACTGAATTGCTCCTGATCTCATTCTGCTGCTTTGAGATGACAGTAATATAACATTAATGTTGTAGTTCCCATCAGCCATGGCTTATACTGCAACAATATGACTGTTTTCAAACAGGTTTTCCAGAAATTCCGCATAAGACTTGAGCTCTGTTTCAAATTTTGCGAAACATGCAATAGCTTTGTGAGAAAAAGACAATATTCTATTCTAGTCTATTCTATTCTATTCTATTCTATTAGTCATATACACATGCACTACCATTCAAAAGTCTTTTTTTTTTCTTTTTTAAAGATCTTATGCACACCAAGGCTGTATTTATTTGCATTATTACAAATTAAACATTATTGCAATTTAAAATGCATTTTCCATTTTAATATATTTGTATGATGCAATTTTTTCCTATAATGTAAAGCTGAATTTTCAGCATCATTACTCCAGTCTTCAGTGTCACATGATCCTTCAGAAATCATTCGGTCCCACTTTAAAGTAAGTGGCCCTAATACCTGTGTACTTACATAGTAACTAGATGTATACGTAGTATTTAACCACAGTGTAAGCACACATTGGTACATAGTATCTAGAGCTGTAATATTTCTGTAACTACAAACATGTACCAACCCTCTGAATGGTTTGTGTAAGTACAAATGTGTAACAGGACATATATAACTACATTTTGTAACCACAATATTTATAAGAGTAATTGGAACAATTGGATCCAGGGGGTGGAGATGGGTAGGTTTAGGGGTTGAAATGGGATCCAGGGGGTGGAGATGGGTAGGTTTAGGGGTTGAAATGGGATCCAGGGGGTGGAGATGGGTAGGTTTAGGGATATGTAAAATGGGAGGAGTTGGATCTCAAGTTAGTGCACCACTGTAATATCAGTGTACTTGCATGGTAACTCCTCAGGAACTGTCCACTTAATATAAAGTGTAACATTCTGGACACCAACCACAATTTATATGTAAAGCCTAACTTACTGGCCACTGCTGTGTAACATCAGAGTAATTACATGGTAAATCCATAGGAATTGTTTACTTAATATAAAGTGTAACACTTTCTTTACCAAAAAGTGCTGTTAGTCCTCTTACACATTTGTACTTTCATTACCAAAAAGTGTTGTTACTAATGTCCTGTTACACATTTGTATTTACTCACACCATTCAGTGGGTTGTTACATATGTGTAGTTACACAAACATTACAGCTGTGTATACTATGTACCAATGTGTACTTAAACTGTTACATACTATGTACACATCTAGTTACTATGTAAGTACACGGGTATTAGGGCCACTTAATATAAAGTGGGACCAATCATTCTAATATGCTGATATATTGCTCAAGAAACAGTTTTTATTCATATCAATGTTGAAAACAGTCATATTGCTTAATATTTTTTTGTGCGTGTGTGGAAACTATGATACATTTACATTTTACATCTTTGAAAGTACAAAAGATTAGCATTTATTTGAAATAAACTGTATAAAGTTTTTATAAATTCTTTACTTTCACTTTTGATTAGTTGAATCATTGCTGAATAAAAGTATTATTTCTTCCAAAAGTGAAAGGAGAAAAAAAACCTTACTGATCTCAACCTTTTGAATGGTTTTGAAGTCCCTGTATAAATCATTTATTTGTATTTTTCATGCAATATTTTAATATCAATAGATTACTATTAAAATAATATTTATTATTACATTAGAGGCAACAACATATACATTCATGAAGTATAATTAAATTAAAATTTAAAATAATTGTGAATTTTTGTTTGCAACATTTTTTACTTCAAAAAATTGGCATACTTTAAAATTTGGATAAAAAAAAAAACTAGGAAATGTATTGGATATAAAAAAGTGCCCATTAACTACCAGACATAATTTATGTGCATAATCAATTCTGGAATATCAAGTGTTAACAATACTAGTGCAATGGTAATGTACCTGACAATTTTAATGTATTTGGTCTTGGCGGAATAGATCTGCTACGCTGCTGATGCAAGTACCGAGACTTTCTACTGCCATCCACAACATGCTGGTGTGAGCATGTAATAAATATTGCTGCTGCAAATATAACATACATGAAATTACCCCCATATAGCATACATGAATAACCTCGTAGCAGATCTATACAGGTGGAGCTGGGGAAGGTGGAGGGTTTCTGAAGCAAGCTGCAACTCCTATGGAAAGCACTAGTCATATATTTGAATGTTGATCAGTGAGCTCATTGGCTGCCGATACAGGAGAGAACCAATCAGCTGTGCCATGTGATAATGATGTCATTAGGTCAGATTGAGTTAGACCTATCGGACTGCGCCATCTAGAGTTTCATGCCAGAACTCTGTATTTGAAATTGTGGCGTGTACATTTTTGGGTGAATTGTTCCTTTTAGTAAAAAGGTGTCTCTCTTTCTGTACTGGCTAGTCTCTTCAGAATATGGATCATCCGAAATGACCATAATACCTTTAGTCATGGCTCGATAACCTTAATCTTGTCAACAGCGACACTGTATCCCAACTCCACAAAGACAGAATTAACCTTCCGAGTCAACGGGACACAGTGCATTAAATTAGCACTCAGTGGCTCTGTCTAAAGCCATGATTAATGAGACCACTTACTTTTTACTTACTTTGTTCAGTGTTTTGTAATTAGTGGACAGCGCCCACCAGAGATATCATCTAATTCTCTTTTATGAGCTCCATTGATAGAGCTGGACTGTGAATGCTTAAGTTTGCTTACATTGCAGGAAACAATTAAATAGCATAAAAAGAGACTACAAATATAACAAAAACTAGGACCACAGCTACTTTTTGTATTCAGTGGTTAATTCAATTTTGCACAGCGCTGCATATTGTGTGATACCCTGCAGAAAAGACTAGCATGGCTGGAGACCACTGCTAATCTAGTCAACAAAATTAGTGGCAAAATTGATGAGTTTTTTTGATTTTGTCAGCAATAACACATTTGGCTGGTCATGTGATCCCAACATGTCGGCCCCCATGAGGCGACCCACTCTGTGAATATAAATAAATTAACTTTTATTAAGGCCAGATATGACTGGAGTCATCATTACATTTGAATTTCTCATTACAGTAGACATTACAAGTTCCACTCCTTTTATATAAGTGTGTGTGTGTGTGTGTGTTTGTGTCTGTAAAATGTTTTAGGGAGCTAAAATTACCATGTGCATGTAAGTTTCATATGGCTTCAGAAGAAAATTTAACTTTTTGCCATTTTGAGCTTGACAGACTTTCCAAAAGGTCCAGTCTTGATATTTCCTTCCCAGTGGAAGTCGGGACAGTACTTTTTTGGAGTAGTTATGAATTTCAATCTGGGCAGCTGTACTACTTTGTAAAAGAGAAAGGAAAAAAAATCAAAATAGTCATCAAAGATGAGGATATTGGCCTTGAAAGCCAAAGCAGTAGTGACTGAGATTATTATTTTTATTTTTTTTTTACAAACAAATTAAACCATTTTATCAGTTGAGCCCAACTGCATGTGAATATTAAAATGTAGATCAGATGTTTTATCAGGTTATTATTATTTTTACATTTAAATTCCTATGTATGGCAGAAGGCCACGTGGATGAGAATAGTACTGGTCATAATAGTCATTTGCCAGCATTGACGAGTTAAAGCTGTTAATGATGTTTGCAGCGCACTATTTGTAAGGGTAAAAATGAAAATTATTAAGGCCTAATTTATTTAAATGTATTAAAGCATTTATTTGAATTAATTATCGATCAATCATGTGAGAGAGGTGACAGTTGCGTGTGTGAATTACCTGTCTCTGCGCCTCTCTCTACAAACAGTGAAGCTGTTTTTAATTACTTCAAAAACAGTTATTTTACCATCTCGTTGATAAGAAATATAATGTAGCGATCTAGTATCTAGCTACAAAGTAGTGATCAGCGTTGACAAATATTTTCTGTGGTCCTGAATGTTTCTCTGTGTGTGCAGTGCAATCTCCAACCTCTATCTCTCTCTCTCAATTCAATTCAAGTCAATATGTGCTTTATTGGCCAAAGCATAGTGTTTACATTGAATCTAGAACAGATATGTATTAAAAAATAATAATAATAGTAATTAAATAAATGAATAAATAAATACATGCATGTGTATATATATATATATATTGTAGCATTTGGACCAATCAGACACACAACTTTTTGTTATATTTAACAAATAATATCGAACTCCCCATCACCTAACCAAATGGCCAATTACGAGGGTCTATGGACCCTTCCCCCGAAATGCACCTAACACCTCAGAAAGGCAGAACAGGCCTCTGGTTCCATGGTAACCAATGCTGATATCACAGTCAATAATCATGCAGATTTATGTTACAAACTTATAGAATTGTACAGTAAGAAAGTTATTTCCTTTAACCAGGAAATTAACGTTCTTAGAATTGACAAGACGGTTGACCCTGAGTGGTCAGCTAAATATCTACAGTGGATCTAAAATATGAATAGTTAATTATAACTAGTTATGGTTAATTATTCATATTTCCCATGAGCTGATTCGCTACAATATATATATAATTAAATAAAGTAGAACAAATCAATTCTAGAATTATATTTTAAAATTTCAATTCTAGTTATAATATTTAAAATTTAGTGTTTGTGGGCGCATCACTGATTTATTGACTCCTCCCTCTTTTTGTGACAGGCATCAATGTATCTTGCTGCTAGTAAGATACAATCTTGTTTTTCACCTAATAAATATTGAAGTTGTGTTTTCTTGTTTAACATTTTGAAGTCAGGGCAAAGTATTTCAAATTTTGGATAAAAAAATTCTTTCTAATTGATAGTTAGGGCAGCTGGTGAGGAAGTGTTGCTCTGTCTGCTCAGAGTATGATTGCTCAGTCTGTACCTCGTAATTTGTCTTCTTAATTTATAGTCTTTCACTGTACTCAGATATTCTGCAGTTGTGTAATCTGTTTTTAGGGCCAAATAACATTCAAGTTTACTTTGTTTTTCTGTAGTTTCATTCCAATAGTTTAGATAATTTTCTTTTTGTGTATTTATAATTTGGTTGGGCAGAATTTTATGAATATTTCAGTGTCTTGATGCTGACTGTTGTTAGTCATGTTAGTTTGTTTTTGCAGCTTCAGGACCATCTGAATCGGGACTTTTTTCAGGGTTCACTTCATGGTTTTTAAGGGCTTTAAAATGGTAAGAGTTGGGGTCACTCATTGATTTGATGTTTCCAAAATCTCTCTCTGTGTGTGTGCTTTGAGACATGCTTTTTTTTGGGGGGGGGGGGGGTTAAAGAATGGCGCAAATACCAGTAATTTGAAGAGTGCAAACGTTAGTAAATCGCATTGCGTGATTCATTTTAATACTCTCCTCCCATAAATGTTGCATCTGAAAGGGAAACTTCTACAAATGCGTATTCAATAAGGTCAGGCGCAAAAATAATTGTGTCCACGCCTTTTCAGTGCTAATTCTTCACTGCATGTCTTTAGTAAATCTTGACAGTACTATTTTAACGTCTCAAGACTGTTTGCGCTGGCACAAGTCAATCAACATTAATGTGCCGCCCAAAGTCTGAATAAATGTCCTTGCACACTGAGTCCGAAATTTTCTTATGCGTTTTTCCGGGTTTTTTGCGTATTCGTCATCCTTTCCTATCAAAATGCTTGCTACGGATGCGAAAACACAGAAAAACGAACCTAGTCCAAATTTTTTTTATGACTGATGAGAGTTTCGGAGGCAGTGTGTAAACGTGATTGACACAATGTGAGGTCGTATTTATTTTTCAACGTGTGAAAATTTCGGACGAAAAATTCTGACTCGGTGTGCAAAGGCCTTAGCGCAAGGACATTAGATCTCTGCCAAAAGTGTTAATCGCTGTGCATGTTCAGCGATTAAACTAATACTATAAAATGCTATAAGCTTTCCGCTATCGCCATGGTATAAGTGAAAAATATCAATCTATTTTCCTGTTCACCATGTTTCTGTTACTGTTAAAATAACCATGTCATCTGCAGCTCTTGTAGCACCTCCTGTCTTCAACAGGGGGGAGTAGCAGTGCACACAGGGCAGAATGGGCTTGAATGAAGCGTGTTTGGCTCTAGATAAAAATATTAGAAGATATAACGGAGAAAGATCATTACTATAAATGACCCTGAATGCTTGTGGTGTGCATGGCTCTATTGTTTTGATACACTGCTGAATTTAAACTGTAGAAATGGTAAAATGGTGCTACTGTTGGCATTATGTTTCATGGTCTGGATGGAACCAAGCCGGGGTCCGGAACCGGATCGCAGTCCGCTATTTGAGGACCCCTGCTTTAAAGGAGTAGTTCACCCAAAAATTGAAATTGGTTGAAAATGTACTCACCCTCAGGCCATCCAAGAGTTGTTGCCATGTTTCTGTTACTGTTAAAATAACCATGTCATCTGCAGCTCTTGTAGCACCTCCTGTCTTCAACAGGGGGGAGTAGCAGTGCACACAGGGCAGAATGGGCTTGAATGAAGCGTGTTTGGCTCTAGATAAAAATATTAGAAGATATAACGGAGAAAGATCATTACTATAAATGACCCTGAATGCTTGTGGTGTGCATGGCTCTATTGTTTTGATACACTGCTGAATTTAAACTGTAGAAATGGTAAAATGGTGCTACCGTTGGCATTATGTTTCATGGTCTGGATGGAACCAAGCCGGGGTCCGGAACCGGATCGCAGTCCGCTATTTGAGGACCCCTGCTTTAAAGGAGTAGTTCACCCAAAAATTAAAATTGGTTGAAAATGTACTCACCCTCAGGCCATCCAAGAGTTGTTGTTTTCTTTATCGGAACAGATTTGGAGAAATTTAGCATTACATCACTTGCTCACCAATGGATCCTCTGCAGTGAATGGGTGCCGTCAGAATGAGGGTCCACAAACAGCTGATGAGCAAGTGATGTAATGCTGAATTTTTCCAAATCTGTTCTAATGAAGAAACAAACTCATCATCTTGGATAACCTGAGAGAGCAAATTTTCGTTTTGGGGTGAACTATTCCTTTAACAGTACTGTAAATCTAACCTCTACATATTGTTGTGTTTTTAAGAAATTCTTTCTTTTTTTAAGGATGTGTCCGGTATGCCCACCCTTTGCCGTCCAGTCCAAGAAGGAGGTCTGGGTTTCGACTATCGCCTGGCTATGGCTATTCCCGACAAATGGATTCAAGTGAGTTTTTCTAATATGAAGTGGAACAACATAAAAGAGAATAGCTCGATGATATTCAACATACATGCAACTACTGTACAGTCCTACTGTAAGTGTAACCGACAACTTACTGCACTTTACTCACATTCCAATATATTCCCTCCGGATGGTGCCAGTTTGTTTGAGCCATATCATGCTAAGTGACTCATTCATCACGCACTTGTCCTGCTTGTAATTCCGAAGCGAAACGTGTTTCTATCTTTTTCTCGGGGGAATTAGATTTGAAGATTCAGTATCCAGAACGTGCTCTAAATCTAGTCTGACAACCGGCGGATCAGATAAATAGGGCGTATCTCAATTTTTCCGGCCAGATGTATATTAATAGTGTCATGCTCTTGGAAACTAGGATGCGTTCAATACTCTCTGTAATGTTTTTCTTTTTTTTCTGTGAGTGTGCATAATTAAGAGTATAATTATGGGCAATTCTTCAATCATTTTTCATAATTAGGGTTTCTTCTGTGAGTTGATCTAAAGCATTCCTTTGTTCTGTGCTGTTTCTGTCGGTATGCATATTAATGAAGGTCTTCTCATTATGCATATATATATATATATATATATATATATATGGAGATTTTGGGATTCTTTTATTTTCTTGGCAGCAGCGCAAGGCAAAGCACATCTATCTGACTGATCAGAGAGCCGCAGTTGCAAACTATCAGTTTGAAATCTGTATTTTAGTAATTTCTTCTGTCAGTTAACCACTTTGACCCCTCGATGGGTTTAGCCAGATGTAATAATTGGAAGTTTTTCTGCTAGTTTTTGAAAATTTATTGAAAATTCTGTATCATCTGAAGTAATTAGAAACTAATTTAAATTTCATTCATAATTCAGAATTGTTTGAGATGAGAAGATCCTTTTAAATTATTCAAATATTTATTTATCTTAATATCTCAGTCTTGTATATCAGTAGAAATTTACAATTTAAGTGACATTTCCACAAGGACTTATGACTTAAAGCTTATTTTAAATAGCTTTACTTTAAATAATAGTGACAATTAGATTATTAAATATTTTAAGTAGTTACACTGTCATTCAAAAGTCGATAAGATTTAAAAAATGTTTTTGATAGTCTCTCATGCTTACAAAACTGCATTTATTTGATTAAAAATACAGTAATGTTGTGAAATATTATTACAATATAAAATATCTGTTTTCTATTTTATACATTTTAAAATGGAATTTATAATTGTGATTTTAAAGCTGAATTTTCAGCATCAGTACTCCAGTCTTCAGTGCCACGTGATCCTTTCGAAATTATTAAAAAATGCTGATTTGCTGTTTAAGAAATATTTATTATTATGTTAAAAACAGTGCTGTATAATATTTTTTGTAGAAACCATGATATTTTTTCCCAAGACCATTTGAATAGAAAGTTCAGAAGAACAGCATTTGTTTTAAATGTAACCTTTTTGTAACATTATAAATGTCTTTACTGTCACTTTGATTAATTTAATGTGTCCTTGCTGAATAAAAGTATTATTATTTTTTTTTATATATATAAATCTTCCTGACACCCAAATTTTGAACAAATATATGCATGTATGTTTGTTTTTGTAAAACAGTGACATAGTTACTTATATGAAATCAAAACAGTGTCACGGTGTAGTTTTTTATTAGATACATCTAAGATCATATTGAGATATAAATTACAATTTACTCTTGGGGGAAAATAATAGGTCACATTGACATTATGACATTATTCACATAGTTGTCCACTGCTCCATGTAAGATCATAAAGTTATATGAAGATTGTTTTAATTTATTTTTGTTCATTGAAACATCCAGTTCCTACAAGGTTCTTTTTCTCTTGTATTTTGTAACTTTCCTGTCTGCATTCCTGTCTACCTAGACAGTCTTATACAGTAAAAGCAAAAAAAAAAAAAAAGAAGCGTGTGTGCCCTGTACATTGCAGGGGTGACTGTTGGTGCTGAGCGCACAGCCTCCATGGAGAATCGCCTTGCATTGCTAAACAAGGCTAGCCAGAATACAGGGCTTTTTACCAGACCAGCAGCATTCTCTTTGGCCCGGATGACCCTCTGCGGCTCCGCTCCAGCAGACTGATTCAGTGCTGCACTCTTTGTGCACAAAGGTGTCCACTTCACTGAATCTGGATCAGTGTTTGGAATGGCATAAAGGCTGCTGCTTGCTGCTTTTTTTTTTACATTTGCTTTTTTCATACAATGTTGCCCAGCATGCAGTATTTATTTGGGGCTTTTCATCCGACACCGCTATCGATTTCGTTCTGCGTTTGGGTACAGATGAGGCTGCACTTTGAGGGCTCTCGGATTACTTGGAGTTTGTGTGAAGAAAAGAAAGGAGCGCACAGAGATGTGCGCAGAAGAGCGTGTGACTCGTATCTATGTATATGAGCCAATAGATTTTTGACAGGGAAGTTTGAGATGGTCCCCTGCTCTGAGGTCTGTCAAAAAACAACAACAATATTCTAGATGCGCTGAATCTCACGAAGACAAGAACCAACATGGTTCATACTGTACCTCAATTAAAAAAAAGGAGAAGAAGAAATACTGTAATAACTGATATTAATAAATGATTGTTAATGATTGTCATTATGAGTAATAATAATAATAATAATAAAAATAAACAACAAAAATAATAATAACAATAACAATTATTATTAGAAAGTAGTAGTATTGTTGTTATTATTATTGTGGTGGTGGTTGTGGTTGTTGTTGTTTGTTGTTCATTTAATGGGAAATTTATATGCTTATATACCCACAATCTTTAATAATATACACAAACAAAAGCGTGTTTGCGTCATGTTTCTGAGAATTATGTACTTTATTGTCATATATAGGTAATATATGTAAAAATACACTATTTTAAGCATAGTATAATTTTATTTGCTTGTTTGTTTGTAAAATATGACCTGTACTCCTCCTTTCCTTCACAGGTTTTGTGAGGTCATATTAAAATAAGTAAATATATAATTTTTAATTAAATACATATGCACATATAATAAATAAACAATCATAAATGAAATTATATATTTCTTATCATTTATTTTTATGTTTATTACTTATATATGTATATTAATATGAATATGTATATAGCATTTAGTGCAAATGAATAAGTATATGCAACACAAAATTGCCTATTACAGTGTATGTGTGGATACCTTTTTACTATAATGAGAAAATAGTTGTATTAATATTTAATATTACCATTCATTATTTTAATATTTTAACATATTATTAATATTATAAATGCTATGATACAATGTATGTATGTGTGTGTGTATATATATATATATATATATATATACAGTATATATACACACACACACACACACACACACCAGAATGATTTTTAATGTGTTTTATGCTCATCAAGGCTGCATTTATTTGATCCAGAAATACAGGAAAAAATTTAATGTTGTGAAATATTGTTATGATATAAAATAAAGTTTTTCTATTTTAATATACATTAAAATCTAATTTATTCCTGTGATGCAAAGCTGAATTTCCAGCCTCATTACTCCAGTCTTCAATGTCACATGATCCTTCAGAAATCATTCTAATATGCTGATATATTATCAGTGCTGGAAACTGTTGTGCTGCTTGATATTTTTTTGGAACCTGTGATACCTTTTTTCAGGATTCTTTGATGAATAAAAAGTTAAAAAGAAGAGAGTATTTGAACTGTCTGCCTTGAACTGTCTGTCAGTCTGGAAATATTTTGTCTGCCCTGAACTATCTGCCTGTACTATAACGACCATGGTGGTCGTTCCCCTGTCGCTGGAGCTCACGGTGCTGGAAGTGTCCTTATGGTGTGTGTGTGGGCAGCACAAACTGTGTCAAATCCTCATTCTGAACTTCCGCCCCCACCTCCTCTGTATCAGTCCTCACCATCGCCTCCACTGTCTCCTGGCAGACCCTCAGCTCACCCTCAGTCCACCATCTGTGAGGTGGGATCGCCCCGGGTCTGCCAGTCTCCATCGGCGTCGTGGCTGAAGGATCCCTTGTCTCCACCTCCAGCCTCTGAGTCCCGGACTCTGCCTCGGCTCCACCATGGCTCCTAGCTCCCTCCTCTCCGCCATGGTCCATCAGTCCACCAGCTCCGCCGGGCTCCCTCGTCCATTTGTCCCTCTGGCTCTGTCAGGCTCCTACTTCCCTCCAGCTCCAACTTGGTCCTCTGTCGCTTCGACTCTACCGTGGCCTTCCGGATCCCAGCCTCGGTTGCTGGAGCCATCTGCTCTTCCTTGGCCATCCGGATCCTCCCCGTCGCCCTGGCTCTTCAACTCTCTGTCTCCGCCTCGGGCTCCACCACCACCTGATCCGCCTCCATCAGTCGACCCCCTGGAGCCTTCAGCCCTTCCTCCACCGTGGCTCCTCCCTCTGTCAGCTTCACCGTGGGTCACCTTCATGGCTGCGGCCTGGGTCCCGCCTGGCGTCTCCCTTTGTCATCTCCACCCTGGACATTGTTGGTTGTCCTCCTCCCGGGTGTCCGTCCTCTGCCGGTGCTTCCACCTGTCTTGTCTGCCTGCCTTCCTGCCAGCCCTTTGCCATCTCCTGTCACCATCCCTTTTCCACTCCTTGTGTCCTCCTCCTAAGTCCCCCTCCGTCCCTCACTTTGTTGTTCCTGTGGCTCGAGATCGCGCCTTCCGGGAGGGGGGCGAACTGTCACAGCCCTTTGAACTGTTTTGTTGTCTTCATCCGTCATGTGCTCTGTGTGACCCATTTTTCCCTCATGTTTGATTGTGTCATTTAGTTCAGGTGTGTGTCGTTAATTATATTCATTTTCTAAAGTATATAGTTGTGTTCAGTCCTGTGTTCCTTCGTCCGGTCTATGTCCCTACGTGTGTCTCCTGCCTGTTCTGTCCTGGATTTACCCTTGTGTGGATTTATTAAAGACTATTTGCATTGCTCATCATCTTCCTCGTGCGTTTCATTCCACCGTAGCGGGACAGCTATAAATCCATTTTGATTAATTTGAATAAAAAT